ATAGTAGGTGAAAGTCACCGTATGTTTTATTTTTGTATATTAGAATCATTTCTAGGTACATATTCAGTTCTGGTAGTATTGATCTAGTTTGCTCAACCAGGATTCGATCAATTTGTGTCATTTGCGCAAGCTCGTGCTTTGCTGATGTCGGTCAGGAGGTCCACGTTGTGGCGCGGCATTGCTAGAACACTTGATTTCGTCGCAATCTGTCGGGGCGTTTTTGAAAGGTGTGCGAGGAGCCCTTACCCGCGAATTTTCAACCACTGGTTGTTTCCTTCCTGACTTCACCAGCCCAAAAAGGGCTCATTCCCCTTCCTGGCACCCCCTTCTCCCGACTGGTGTGACGTCAAGTATAGCGTCGCGCGTCATCACATACCTTGTGTGGTAGACTAGTTTCTGGAGAACGAAGATCTCCTGTCCGACATCCGCATTTTACATCCTCCATCATTGGGCAGTGGGGATAGGTGAGGGACAGGTGGACAATTGTCGAAACTCTTGGGTTTGTAGGCGACACGACCAGCAATTTCCAGAAGTGATCTTCACTTTCTGGTTTTCCCACATTGCTGCAGTTGTCAGACTGTGCTTCGCCTATCCACATCCTATACGGAGGGTACATTTTCAATGAAAACATGTTTCATGATTTGCACAACATGTACTCTGTAGACCATAAACCCAATCAGGTTCCACATGGAGCCAAACGGATAAATCGAGATAGTATGTGTGTTGTACAATGCAGAACTCGTACTGAGCTGATGTGTAGCTAACCAGGTCGTGCTCACCATTAGCAACAGCTACAACTAAGTAACTGACTCGGGTAGTGGTAAATAGACAACACATTCAAATGTGCAAGATGCGGCTGAAGATCTGCATAAATATATTCACCGTCTCGAGAAGTTCGGGATAGGCTCGGCGACGTTCTGCTTAGTGAGGTGTGAGGCTTGGCGGCTTAAAGAGGACTGTACACTCACCCCAAAAAAGTGCACGGGAACGGTGTTAGATGGCAGTGGTGGGTGCCGTTTCCACACTTCGCCCCGCTGTCGCATGACCAACAATACGCCTAATCGTAGCAAAACGAGCTACTTGCCCTCTTACTGCTCATAGTTTTTTTTCTGAGCTGAGTGCGCGTTTCGCTGCGAGATCTTAGTATCAAAGCAAGAGTGCACCTCGAAGATAGCGCGGGCGGAGTATGGGGACGTCGCTGGGTACCACCCCTCCAGCCCCGTTCCCCTGCACTTGTGATCGGACAAAGTCAAGGTTCTGCAGGCTGCGGGCCCATTCGCCTCTAAAATTGGAAGGATCTTGCTAAGGAGGTCAGAGTGCAGTTTGTCTTTAGGTGAATTTTTTACTACTTCATTCGCCAACTACGACCCTAGAAGCATTGACATGTGGGCTCGATGTCGCACGCGACGCGGCGGGTTACTATTGTCGTGTCACATATCCCTGGAGGCTGCGGTGTCAGGCCGCGCCCACCACTGCGGCAACCATGGTGTAATTGCCACATGAGAGACAACCGCCCTTGTAGCCCTGTACAAAGCAAACTTTGATGGTGCACAAGCGAAGCGCCTTTCTTTTACCTCATCAATTTTTAAAACAGATAAATAGAATCTTTTTATTGCAACAGAGGGAAAACGCGCATAAGAACTCGCTATTTTTAAATGTCAGGCTTGATAGATAAAACAGAACACGATATGTGATTGACAGGAGAAAAATGACAGAAACGTGGTCGCGCCTAGAAAAATATCGTTGAGCAGAGCTATATAAAAAAAGATAAATATAAACCGTAGCGTTAGATAAGTAGACAGACAGTGTGTGGATAGAGTCAGCAGAGAAGTGGCAGATGTTAAGGCACAATCTCAAGAGGTACTACGCCTCCCTGGGGAACGTCCAGGTTTGTCCTTGGACAATCTGGTATGCGAGTGCGGAAAGGATGATTCGACTATGAAGATGCGACATGCGATATGTGTGATGGCTGTTTTAGTGGAAAAAAATGAGAAAGTTTCAAATAGTATATACAATAGAAGTCATCAGAAACATGGCAGGTTAAGCTGCAGGCTGCAGTACATTTTTAAAAAAATTGTCCTACTTCAAACTTGAAACAAAGCTCCTGATCCTTGAGAGAAAGCCGATTTTCAGTTGGAAAAAATGGAACCAGATTCTTGATATTTTAACTGAAAATCAGCTTTTTTTTCCAAATCAGAACATTCATGCTCTCCACAACAGCATAGAGGCATGCTTGGCGGAGTAAGCGATAGATGGAGGCAGGGAGTTACTGCTCGGGCGATGCTCCGCGCTCGTATCGCGCTTTGTTGATATTCGCAAGACGTTCCCTTGCGTGAACGAGTTCTTTCTCCTTGCGAAGCACTTGCTCTTGGGCGTCCATTACCTAGAAGGAATTAGGTTAGTCAAGTAAAACACAAAAAGAAGCCTTCTTCTGGGAAGCGCATTTTTTACCTACGACGTAGTTTAATGGCCATCAAAAAGTACACATATCTAGACGTAAAGCTACTATTGACCCTATTGCTGGCTGGCAAAACTGCTTTTTTTGAACAGAATTAGCGCCTACCACTAAGTGGGATCGAAATCCCACTAATGCCGAGCAACTGGACAGATCCTGCTAGGAAGAACCGGAAGCCCGTTCCAGAGACAAACTTTGGTCCAGATGATAGTAAAGGGCAAGTGTTACGACGGTCACGGCAAACAAACGTGAGGATCACTTTCTTCCAAAAAGTAATGTCATCCCGTGTTTAATAGTGTGGGCACGTCCTGCCATTGGAGAAGATTCTTGCAAAATACCTCCCTATCCCTCAAAACTTCCTCCTCTTGTAAGACCCTCATCTCCATCGCTCCTCTTGCTTCGCATCTTTCTTGACTCACACAATTCCCACCACTCAGTTTTTTTCCGAAATTTGCCAGATTCTTCCCTAAAATATTGCCGCCGAGTGGGAGTGAGGAAAGGGACCCTGGCTCACTACTCTTCAGCGCATTCGTCAGAGTAAGCACAGCCCTAAACCTCATGAGTGCACTAGTATCGTGCACTCCTGCAGTTCAGTGTTCAGGGTTAAGGGCACAATGACAGCAAGAAGGTCTGTGACCGCATAGATGGACCTAAGGATCAGTTGCTAATGATGAGTTAAGAGCGAAAATCTCTACCACAGGCGACACTCGAATCTGCGCTTACACCTACGGCCAGGCGTCCCATCCCCTCACGCCGCCAGAGCCATATTTTACTCTCTCAGCTAAATCGCCTTCTGTGCCATAGGCTTGCAGCACCCACAGATGAGCCAGCTAGCCAGCATGTTACTCTGAAAACTTCTACCCATAACTCAGCGCTCTGTATTCAATTTCGAGATCTCCGGCTTTGAACACCAGCCGTCGTAATAAAATGAATTTCAAAAGATCTGTTTCGTTTTATGGCCACTGCCGTGCAGCAGAAAAGCACATGATCTGAAGAGCAGAGAAGAGTCCGAACCGATTAAGGTGGTTCCGTTGCCCACGATTCAAAATTCCTAGGCTGAAGATAATTCTGAAAAAAACACTACTCACCTGCGCAATGCCAGTGACCAGTCGGTCAGAAATGACAATGTTACGTTCATCCTCAACTACGTTTTGTCGAGCCGAAGTGACAAGTCGCTCAGTAGCCGTCTGAAATAACTTTCAGCTCAAACTTTGAACGAAGACCATGAAAGTATCTCTAGGTATGTTCCCATCAAA